CACAGACTTGAGTTGCAGAGTTACTCACAGACAGGCGTGTGTGTGGCTGGCAAAGAGCCCGAAGAGGGCCGCCATAGCAGCTTCTGCCAGGGCTTCTTCCTTGGCGACTGGGTGAGAGAAACCAGTGGGGAAGCAGGGAAGGAGGGAGAAGGGTGGCTCCAGCAAGAGGAGGGAGGGAGGGGGAAAGAGGAGAGGAAGAGAGAGAGGAGGGGGAGAGAGGAGTGGGCAGAGCGGCGTACATTGCGGGTTTTCACTTATCGCAGGTGGTCCTGGAACGTAACCCCCGTGATAAGTGAGGGAACATTGTATGTGCAATTTTTTTTTAAAAAAAATGAGAGCATTGCTAATCAAGTAAGGAGGTAACCACGTTAATGTGTTGCGGTGGAAACATGAGGACTTATGTAATCTTAAAGCATGATTGTTGTTGCATGCCTTTGCATTTTTTCCTATTTGCTGCAACCATAGGAAAACATATTGCAGAGTTTTTGGGGCAAAATTTCTTCAAAGGGGTTTGTCCATGCCTTCCTCTGAGGTTGAGAGTGTGTGACCTGCCCAAGGTCAGCCAATGAGTTTACTTGGCCAAGTGGGAAGTTGAGTCCTAATCTCATGCTTAAATCAGTATATTAGCTTTCAGCTGTAACTATGCACTCGGAAATGACTTTGGATCCAAGTGTGAAATAAATGGTCTTGCAGAAAGGCTGAACACAAGTAGAGTCCAATATTCAAGATGTGATGCCGGCAGAAATGGTTAAGGTTAAATTTATGATGTCATTAGAGTTCTATCTGTTGGGAATGCTGGGCAACCATTTTTTAAAAAGGAAGATATAGATTATACCTGCAGCAAGTTTTGTCTATGCTCAGAAATGGAATGAATCAGTTATTCCAACACACAACAAAGAATGGCTGGTGAAGATTTCTGAACCAGTTGAGATGGACCAATCAACGGTGCTGAATAAGGAGAAATCTCTGACTGATTTCAAGAAAGACTGGAACTTATTTATTATCTTTTCCCAACAATGATGTGCACATTTGTTGACTTTAGAATTTATAAATTAGAAGAGTGTTACCAAATGCAGAACTGTGGAAATAGAACAATAAGAGAGCAAAACCATCATAGAATCGTAGAGTTGGAAGAGATCTCATGGGCCATCCAGTCCAACCTCCTGCCAAGAAGCAGGAAAATTACATTCAAAGTACCCCTGACAGATGGCCATCCAGCCTCTGCTTAAAAGCCTCCAAAGAAGGAGCCTCCACCACACTCTGGGGCAGAGACTTCCACTGCTGAACAGCTCACACAGTCAGGAATTTCTTCCTAATGTTCAGATGGAATCTCCTTTCCTGTAGTTTGAAGCCACTGTTCTGCGTCCTAGCCTCCAGGGCAGCAGAAAAGAAGCTTGCTCCCTCCTCCCTATGACTTCCCCTTACTTCTTGATCAATGGCCCTCATGTCTCCTCTCAGCCTTCTCTTCCGCAGGCTAGACCTGCCTGGCTCTTTAAGCCGCTCCTCATAGGGCTTGTTCTCCAGATCCTTGATCATTTAGCCCTCTCCTCTGTCAACATCTCCCTTCAATTGTGGTGCCCAGAATTGGACACGGTGTGATTCCAGATGTTGTCACCAAGGCAGAATAGAGGGGTAGCATGTCTTCTCTGGATCTAGACTACACTCCATCAGATGGGAAATGTGATATTCGTAGATTTATTTTTGTTTGTTTAGTGTATTTGTTTTCTGTTTGTGTTTTGATGTAGGTTTGCAGTTAGCAGAAGTAGGTAAAATGTTGCAGTCTAGTTTTAGTATTATATGTCATAACATCTTGCTTGTTTGTATTACTATTGATTTTCTATTACATTCTGTCCTTTTCTAATAAAAATCACTTATAAAAAGGAATGTTAATGTAATTGGCATGAGAGGAAACTAGATACTTGGAAGTAGCTCTGGATTTAAATATGAAATTTAATCAAGATTTAAATGTCATGTGGTACAGCTAGGTATCAAGTGGCTTCAAGTGCAGGATTAGACATGAGATGCCATTAGGCATTTGGAAATTATTTTGAATTTAAGAATGAGCTTAAATGCGAATTTAAATGGCACATGAAGTGCAACTAAGTATTTGGAAGTGACTTTGGATTTAAAGGTAAGACTGAATTGGAACATAAATGGCATAAATACTTGGTCCTCAAAACAAACACAAAATCACCAATTCATCATGTGTGGATACTCTTATTGGATCAAGTGAAATATATCATTTTGCTGGTTTTCCTTCCTCCCCCAATATATTCTTACTGATAAACCCTGAATGACTTCTACATTGTTGGTTGCATCTCATGCCATTTCAGTCCAATCTTACCCCCAAATTCGGTCACTGCCAGAGTTACCTTGTTCTATCAAATGCCCAATTGCATTAAATGCCATTTAAATTCAATTGCATACCTGAATCCAGTCACTTCCAAATACCTAGCTGCATCTCAGACCATTGCAATTCTATTTCACCCTGGAATCGAGTCACTTCTATGTACCTTGTTGTTGCAAGTGCCATTTTGAATTGTATAGATTCCACTTAAGCATTAGGAAGAACTTCCTCATGGTAAGAGTGGTTTGACAGTGGAATAATACTGAGATTGTGGTGGATTCCCCTTCTCGGGGGTCTTTTAAGCAGAGGCTGGATGGTCATCTGTTGGAGGTGTTTTGATTGGGTGTTCTTGCATGGCAGAATGGGGTTGGACTGGGTGGCTCTTGAGGTCTCTTTCAACTCTAGGATTCCCCAATTCAATCTTATGCCTGAATCCAGAGGGACTTCCAAATACCTAATTGCCACTTCAATTCCACCTCATCTTTGAATCCAGAAGGACTTCCAAATACCTTGTTGCATCAAATGTTATTTGAATTCAATCTTATGCCTGAATCCAGTGGACTACGCAATGGCAAGTAACATCAAGTGCCATTTAAATTCAACCTTGTGGTCAAACCAGATACTTCCAAATAGCAGCTTGCACCAAATACCTGAATCCTGAGGAACTTTCAAATACAGGCAGTTCCTGAGTTGCAAATATCCAACTTATAAGTGACTCATAGTTAAGAACAGGGTTTAGACAACAAGAACTGAGAGAAATCTACCCCTCGGAAGAGAAACTCACTCTTGAAAGAGTTATCATGGTGAAAAGGTGCCTCCATTGAAGGTTCATCACCAATCCTTGTTTCCACAACAAGCCGAACCTACCTTGTTTGTAACTTGGGGACTTCCAAATACCTGACTGCCATCTTGTACCATTGCAATCCCACCTCACCTTTGAATCTAGAGGGGCTGCTAAGGACCTAGATGGGCTGCAAATGCCCCTTGAAGGCAATCCAGAGGGTCATTGACTTCATATTAATAATGCCATTGACTGTGGATTCTAGGATTCAATCTTATCCCTGAATCCAGAGGGTTTCCAAATACCTGGTTTTATCTGGTGCCATTGCAATCCCACCTCACTTTTGAATCCAGAGGGACTTCCAAGGACCTAAGTGCAGCACTTGAATGCAAACTTATGCCTGGATAAAGGGGGACTTCAAAATATCAAGTTGCAACTTATGCCACTGAATGTGTCTATGATTCTACTATTCAATCTTATACCTGTATCTAGAGGGCCTTCCAAATACCTGGCTACGTTTGGTGCATTGTAATCCCACCTCGTACCAGAATGCAGAGGGATTTCCAAGGACCTAGGTGCAGCAAATGCCACCTGTACAACCTTATGCCAGAATCGTGAGGGACTTCCAAATAGCTGGCTGCATCTGGTGCCACTGCAATCTCACCTCATACTTCATTCCAGAGGGACTGCCAAGGCCCTGGGCGCAGCAAATGCCATTTGAATGCAATCTTATGCCTGAATCTTGAGGGACTTCCAAATATCAAATTGTATCTAATGTCATTGATTGTGTCTAGGATTCCAGGATTCAACCTTATGCCTGGATTCATAGGGTCTTCCAAGTACCTGACTGGCTACATCTGGTGCATTGCAATCCCACCTCACTCTTGAATCCAGAGGGACTGACAAGGACCCAGGTGCAGCAAACGCCACTTTAATGCAACCTTATGCCAGCATCCAGAGGGACTTCCAAATATCAAGAAGCATCTAATCCCACTGACTGTTTCTGGGTTCAATCTTATGCCTGAATCCAGTGGGACTTACAAATATCAAGTTGCATCTAATGACACTGTGTGTTGGATTCTAGGATTAATTCCTATGCCTGGGTCCAGAGGAACTTCCATATACCTGGCTCCATTTGGTGCCATTGCAATCCCATTTCATTTGTGAATGCAGGACTTCCAAGGACCTAAGTGCAGCAAATGCCACCTGAATGCACCCTTATGCCTGTATGCAGGGGGACTTCCAAATACCAAGTTGCACCTAATGCCATTGACTGTGCCTAGGATTCTACGATCCAATCTTATACCTGGATCCAGAGGGACTTCCAAACACCTGGCTATATCTGGTGCATTAAAATTCCACCTCAAGTTGCATCTAATGCCATTGACTGAGCCTAGAATTGTAGGATTCAATCTTATGCCTGAATCTAGAGGGACTTCCAAATACCTGGCTGTATCTGGTGCCATTGCAATCCCACCTCACCCTTGAATCCAGGGGGACTTTCAAGGACCTAGAAGCGCAGCAAATGCCACTTGAACGCAACCTTATGCCTGGATCCAGGGGGACTTCCAAATACCAAGTTGCATTGTAGACTGTGTCTACGATTCCTGGATTCAATCCTATGCCTGGCTCCAGAGGGACTTGCAAATACCTGTCTGCACCTGGTGCCATTGCAATCCCACCTCATACTTGAATGCAGAGGGACTTCCAAGGATTTGGGAGTGCAGCAAATACCACTTGAATGAATGCAACCTTAGGCCTAGATCCAAGCACCGAGCTGCATTGCAATTCAATCTCACCCTGGGCTCTCTCTCTCTCTCTCCCCTCGTCACATGCCTGGCCCTCCTCCCCTGTAATTCCTCCTCCTCCTCTTCCTCCTCCTTTCTCTGCCTGGCTGCTGATGCTGCTTCTGCTCCTGGCGGCGCAAGAAAGGGAGGTGAAGAGGCGCCGGGCGGCAGGGAGGCTGAGCGAGCCCTCTTCCCCCTCTTGGCGGGGAAAGGCCCGAGGAAGAGCCGACGCCAGGGGAGCGGGAAGAGGAGAGGAGAGGAGGAGAAGGCGGATTCCCGGGCTCCGGGTCGCGGATTCCGGGGGATCCTGGCGGGTGAGCCGAGCTACCCCTTGGGCCCCTCTCCGCCCCACGCCCAAGGGAGAAGAGAGCCAGCCCCCTTTGCAGAGGCCCAGGGGCCCAGAGCAGGGGGGCATGTGGCCATGCTCAAGGCAGACGGCCACCCAGGTGTTGTTTTGGGGGTAGGAAGTGCCCAATGTGTTCCCCTTTGCTTCCGTTGCCTTCCTGCCCTCGGGGGCCAGGGAATACTTTGCATTTATTTACTTTTTCTAATTGGATTTTTCAGTCACATGGATTGTGTTGTGCCAAAGGCTCCCCTAAAGTGGGAGAGGACGACAGTATGCTTGTGTGTATAATATATCTATCTATATATGTCTATATTTATATATGTATATGTGTGTGTGTACTATAGATATAGGTAATATATATGTGTGTGTGTGTGTTATATTAGACTTTAAACCATATATATATATTACCTGTATGTATGTATGTATGTATATATATGTGTGTGTGTGTATGTGGTTTAAAATCTAATATAACACACAAGTGTGTGTGTGTATATATATATATATAGTATATCTATAGCTATATATATATGGTATATATGGGTGGATATATTCACACATATATGTGTATATATGTGTGTGTATGTGTGTGTTTATATACATATATGTCGTTTTATATATATATGGTTTAATGTATATATATATATGGTTTAATGTCAAATATAACGCACACACGTATGTGTATATATCTATACCTATCTATATGTATATATACACATATATATGTGTATATATATATATGTGTGTGTGTATATATATATAATATAAAATATACATATATGTAGTTTTATAAATATATATATGGTTTAATGTCTAATATACACACACCTGTGTGTATATCTATCTCTACATATATGTATATGTGTGCATATATAATATAAATAATATATACATATATGTTGTTTTATAAATATATATGGTTTAATATCTAATATAATGCACACATGTGGTTTTATGAGTGTGTTATATACATTATGAATGTGTATATATATAGAAGTTTTTAAAAATCTAGAACAGCCGATGAGTGCATCTTATATGTGTGTGCATATGTATATACATACATACATATGTGTGTGTGTATTCCTCAAACTTTCTAAACAGAGGGCCAGGTCACAGTCCCTCAAACTGCTGGAGGGCCGGATTATAGTGTGAAAAAAGCATGAATGAATTCCTATGCAAACGGCACATTCCTTATTTGTAGTGCAAAAAATACTTTAAAACAATACAATAATTAAAATGTAGAAGAATTTTAACAAATATAAACTTACTAGGCTGATGAGATAGGATTGCTGTTGTTGTGGGCTTTCAAGTTGTTTTGGACTTAGGTTGATCTTGAGCGAGGGCCAGGTAAATGACCTTGGAGGGCCGTATCCGGCCCCTGGGCCTTAGTTTGAGGACCCCTGGTGTATACCATATGAAATATAACATTACATCTAATTTATCTATATATTTTTTGTCGTGTCAGGAGCGACTTGAGAAACTGCAAGTCACTTCTGGCTCCATTTATCTAATATAATTTATATAATATATACATATATCATTTCGTGTGTCTAAGATTATATGAATAGTTTTGCAAGTATATTATTACTTACTTAGAAGCTGCCTGTGCATGAGTTTATTTTTTAATGTGTGGAGTTTGGTGCACAGCCGGTCAACACACCGTCTTCACAGAGTGAGGTCCCAACCAGTGGCATGGTTAACTTATACCATGTTATCCTCCACCTGATCCGCTCTTCAGGTCTTCAGATTGTGCTTTAGATACATTATTGTAGAGAAGTGTTCATTATACTGTGTTTCAAACTGTGTTTAGGCTTTACATTGTGGCCAGGGCCTAGCTGAGAGAGAGATAGGTTGCCATGGTGACAAGCCAGAGGAGGTGGGCGGAGCTTAAGTAGAAAAGGTTTGAAAGCGACAGTTTATAGTCAGTCAGGCGGATGAGACCCTGAGGAGAGTAGCAGAGTCAAGGGGGCTCTGTGGAGTAGTGTAAATTCAGTTAGTTCTTAGGTTTTGTGAATATTACTTCAGCTAGGAAGCTGAAGGTGGAAACTCGTTAGATTGCTTGAGTAGAAAAGAATCTAACAAGAAAGGGTTTCAGGGATCCCAGTGGTGAAAGTCTGGAGATCGTTGGTTTGATCCGGTGAAGGACAAACAGTTGTAAATATTCACATTAGGGAACACTGAAATAATAAAGTACCTCACTGTAGGAGGAGTTAAAGGATTGTAACATCGGAAGACTTAATGTAACTCAACCAAGCCATTTTGTATCCATCAAGCTTGTGCCAAGTTCAACAGTTTAATTTTGCAACAATTTACGCTCTGATAACAATAAACCTGTTCTTTTTGTGTTTTAAACTTGCCTCCTTCACTGATTTCCACGTTTGGAGCATTCCACACTACCAAAGGTGCCTCACAACACAGATAGGGATAACCAGAGATCATTTTACCAATATCTCTTATATTATGGTGGCAATTTAAGCTAGAAGTCTCAAATCTTTATTACATCTGTGTGGTGATCCTATTTATTTGGGATTTTACACCATTATTTCATTTTGGAGACTTCCTCACATATTTTGGTGGCAGCAAGTGAACGGTTTTAAATTTTTAGTAACAAGCGGTGGGAGTCACGGCCTCGCACATTTTACAGCTGTTGTTGTATAAGACTCCATTACACTTCGATCCAAAGGCAAAAACCTGTATAGGCTGGAGCAACACCATTGTGGATATTTAAAATTAGAACCTGAACACATAGGCATGTAAAATTGAGTTAATTCTGACCTGAAAGCCTAGCATGGGACCTTTCTGTTTGTATTGCCACAATAGCATGAATAAAGTTCTTAATAGCTATTTCATATAATCTTTTCATTAGTTGAACATAGGTGCTGCAAATGGTTAACATGGATGCTTTAAATGTTTTGCATTTTTTTTGCTGTTTCCCCCTAATGTAGTACTAATTGCATGGATTTAGTAAGTTCTTTGTTTTGCTATGCATGTTCTACTTTTAACTATAGAAAGGAGAGGTAAAAGTGGCCAACTTTAAAAAAAAGGATTAATTTAACAAACCTAATCCATGCTTAAATTGTCATTTATCTAATTTTTTCACCACAGCAGTAGTTGTGGTCCTTTACGGCTCATCTAAATCCTTCAAAGCAGGCATGCATTAAATATGCTAAAACCAATTGATTTCCTTTTTGTTTGCCAAAAAGTGGAAAGATAATTTACCTTTTAATGCTTTCTACCTTATTTTTTCCATTAATATTAAGAAGCATTGCTAACAACAAGGCAGCAAGAGACGATGGGATCCCAGCTGAACTGTTTAAAATCTTGAAAGATGATGCTGTCAAGGTGATGCATGCCATATGCCAGCAAATATGGAAAACACAAGAATGGCCATCAGACTGGAAAAAATCAACTTATATCCCCATCCCAAAAAAGGGAAATGCTAAAGATTGCTCAAATTTTCATACAGTGGCCCTTATTTCTCATGCCAGTAAGGTAATGCTCAAGATCCTGCAAGGAAGACTCCAGCAATACATGGAGAGAGAGTTGCCAGATGTACAGGCTAGATTTAGAAAAGGCAGAGGAACGAGAGATCAAATTGTCAATATCTGCTGGATAATGGAGAAATGCAGGGAGTTTCAGAAAAACACCTATTTCTGTTTTATTGACTATTCTAAAGCCTTTGACTGTGTGGATCATAATAAATTGTGACAAGTTCTTGGTGGTATGGGCATACCAAATCACCTTATCTCTCTCCTGGGGAATCTGTATAAGGACCAAGTAGCAACAGTAAGAACTGACCATGGAGCAACAGACTGGTTCAAGATTGGGAAAGGTGTATGGCAGGGTTGTATACTCTCACCCAACCTATTCAACTTCTATGCAGAACACATCATGCAATGTGCAGGGCTTGACGAATGCAAGGCTGGGGTAAAAATTGCTGGAAGAAAC